ACTGTCCCAAACAGTAATATTACTGTCTGAGACAGTAACGTAGTAGCCAAGACAGTAATATTAATTAAAATACTATTTTCAAAAAAAAAAAACTAATTCAAAAAAAAAGCCAATGCCGGAGACCCGCGGTCAACGGTGGTTGACCTGTCGGAAAAAAAATTCAGAAATAAAAAAAAGTTTTCAAAAAAAAAAAAGTCAACGCCGGAGACCGGCAGTCTCCGGCGGTCAACGCTGGAATCTGGCCGGAAAAAAAAATTTGAGAAAAAAAAATTATTTTCTGAAAAAAAAATTTATTTTCAAATAATTATTATTTTGGGGGTTAATGTGATATATTTGTTTAAATCCGGGTTCAATGTGTAATATTAAAGAAGTTAGAGCATAATTGATGGAATTGACAAAAGTTATATTATGGAGGTTATTTTTTACTAAAGGCATGGGGATGGATGTATTTGAAAGACTGTTTTTTTTGTGCACCAATGTACATTTAAGTCCCTTGGGATGAGCTTTTTTGCCATTCGCCCATTAATAAAAGTTGACGGTCAGGGAACTTTCTCATCAAAATCCTATAAAATATTATGATTGTTAAATTAGCATTGTTCGGGGGAGTTAAGAGTTAAAATCTCAAAGATTACGAAGGTAAATTACAAATAAACTATCCGAACATTTAATTAATGGGCGGTTATTTTGAGCTTAGTGGTTAATTATTTGGGGCTCTTTGAGGAAACCCCCTCATTACTTTTTTTAATGGAGGGAGGTCCAAAATATTCCAGTCCATTTGAGAAAATCCCAAACCCATTTTCAGCCATTATGTTTTCCAGCTTTACCCCGTCCGCCACCTCATCACTGGGTCACGCACTCAGCAATTTTTTTTTCCCGTTTTTTTAATCGATTATGCTTCATAGTCGACTAAGGAAATTCTTTATTTTTGTTTTTTTTTTTGTTTTTTAATTTTTTTTCTATATCAGTATATTAATCAACTATGATGAAGTATAGTCGATCAAAAGTCTGCTGCTAAAAATAACAAATCAAAACTGCAAAAAAATGCAAAATCAACTATATTTTACAAAAAAACAAAAATATAAGAACATGATAATTGATTTATACAATTGGAATCAATAAACAAAAAAAAAAAAAAAAAAAAAGAAGATAGGAGTTGATCAACCTTAATCGATACCAGAGCATAGTCGATTAAAAATCTGCTACTAAAAATAACAAATCATAACTGCGAAAAAATGCAAAATACCTATATATTACAAAAACAAAAAATATACAAACCTTATAATTGATTTATACACTTGGAATCAATAAACGAAAAATCCAAAAAAACTAAAAAAAATTGGAGTCGATCAACCTTAATCGACTACCAGAACATAGTCGATTAGCTTAATCGACTATGAATATGTACATAGTCGATTAAGGTTTCAGTCTGCGCGAAATTCTCTACACGCGCCTTTATCCGCCCAATCCACCAAAAAACCCTAAATCTGCCTCCCCATCGTCACCGTATCGCTACCACAATACACTATTCAACCAATCCCTAACAAAAATAAAACAAATAAATTAAATAATTCATACAAAAAAAAACAAATTAACATTTCAATGTCCAAAAAAAAAAAACCAGAAACGATTCAAGTTATTTGTCAAAACCAACATCAAATAATAATATAAAAAAAAAACAAAAAAACAAATACCTTCACCAACATCAATTGCAACAGTGATTTTCTCATGCATCGTCCTCATGGCCGTCAACCCACAGCGTGGCCAGTCATCATCTTCAACGTCATCGGTGGAAACCACCGCCGCGAACTACAGATCCATGCACCACCCTTCACGCGGCGGCGGAAGGCGGTGACAAAAACTCTCCACCGCCACCTCCTCCATCGGTCGATGTCTTGTTTTTCTTCCGAATTTCAGTCGAGAAGAGAAGAGCGAAGACGAGAAGACGAGAAAAGAAGAAGAGAGAATGGCAGAAGAGAGAAGACGAGAAGACGAGAAAAAAAAAAGAAGAGAGAACGGCAATGGATTAGGGTATTAAATAGATTTAATATTCATAAGTGTGGTTTGGAAATTATTAAATAATATTTAGGTAGGATATTAGGTAAGGGGGTTTTCTCTAATTATTTTTGGGAGGGGGTGTTTTCTTAACTCATTTTCCTAGATGAGGGGGTTCTTGCTAATCATCCCTAATTATTTTAACACGTTTTTAATTAATTCACTAACCCATTATCTCTTTTAGTGTGTTGTTTTTCGTTTAGAACAAGGATCTCTCGGATTCTATAAATAGGAGAGGTCCTCAATTCGTTTACTACCGATTTCCGATGAGAGTGGAGAGCAGAGAACTTTGGGTGTTGGAATATGTTCTACAACACCATGTTTTACTTGTATTCTCACTACAAAATGGATTTTGTTTGTATTTAATATCTTTGGATACTAGTATATACTCCTCGAGTTTTTTTTTTCTTAATCATAGATTGTCATGGATTCTAGGGTAGAAATCAACTTGTGATTTGTTCATAAAAGAGAACATCTTTACTTGTGTGTATTTTTTGAAAACTGTTTTAATAGAGTACATTACAACTAAGCTCATCATGGGCTTCATAAAGGGGTTGTTAAGTGTATGTTTTTACACTTAATCATATCCTTTAATTCGAACTTTTAGTATATTTTATTGATAACTGGTACTTAAAATTTTGATTTATTGTGTTTCAGGAAAGACTGTGCAGTAAAGAATTTATTGTGCAAACATCCGAGAAGGAAAGACTGCATAGTAAAGAAACTTCCAAAAATTACAAAGAAACTGCATTTTTCTAGAATTTTTCCACCTTTTAAAAAGTCATCTCAAGCACACAATTAGGGGCCTCCTTTTTACGCAATTTCGAGAGCAAAGAAGCAATAACGAAGACGAAGACTTTGAAGATTCAAGCATAATTTTTATCTTCCATGATTTATTTTTATTTACCTTTTGGTCATGAGTAGCTAAACTCTTTATTTCTAAGATTTTATTTTGAACCCTATGTGGGATTTATGAACCCCTTCCATGATTTTATGCAAGTTTTAATTCCGGATTATTTCTTCTACTTGTTTTATTAAGGTCATGAAACTGGCCATTTTATGTGCTTTTCTATTTATGTTATCGTTAATTGCATGAATCGGAAGATTGTGTTAATAATTAGAACTTGGGTAGAAGAGCATTTGTGATATTAACATAGGAATATAGTTAATCTCTTAGGTAGCTATTATTGAGATTTGTGATTCATGTTGTGTTCTAGAATTAATTGCGTAGGAATACAGTAATTGAATCTAGAGAGTTAGAATCGTAATACACGCGGAAGTAGGTTATGATTAATTTAGCATCTCAGGTTAGTAATCCGATTTAATAACTTGCATAATTGAATGAATTGGGGAATTAATAATCACATAGAGGGAAGAATAAAATCATAGGCTTGTTTACCTTGATAAATCTTCGTGTTTAATTGCTTTCGTGCCTTTTATGGTTTAAATTGCTTTAATTTAATTTAGTTTAATTAATCAACTTTCGACTGTATAGGGTGGACTTGAGCATAATTGGTAGAATTTTGCGTATAGGATTAGATAATTAAATATTACATGTGGGATCGATATTTGGACTTAAGTATCCGCTATATTACTTGTTCGATACGTGCACTTGCGTATAGGTATTACTACCAACAAGTTTTTGGCGTCGATGCCCGGGAATATTTTAATTATCTATTTTATTCTCTCTGTAAATTTGAATAACTTTCATGATTCACCCAAATTTAATTTTTATTTTTATTTTAGGTACCGTTTTATGCGTAGAAGACCCAATCTCGATAGAAAACCGTTTGACCCAGAAATTTTTGAGCCGCTAGGAGTCATCAATGCGGAAATAATATAATGGAGGACGATGAACGCATAGACACAGAGGGTTATTTACTCGATACATACGGAATCCGACTCCAAGACCAACCCCCACGGCTACGGGTGCAAGTTGGAATGGAAATTCCAATTTCCGTCAATTCTGATCTGAAAAGTTCCGATTTTGAAACAACTTTTTTCATTTCAATTTTGGAACAACTTTTTGTTTTAGAATTTTGACATATTGATTTTTATTATAAGTTTTTTTGGAATATGACGTGGTTTATTATTTATTTATTTTTTTGAACTGAAATTTACTAGTTACTACTTTGATTTTATCGACGTGAATATTTTTATTTTACGAAAATAATTAAAATTCCAGAAAATTTCCGCTAAGTTTTGAAAATTTGAAACTTATGTGATTTCCGAAATTCCAAAATTTCCGGGCCTTTTGGAATTTGACCAATTTTTAGATTCCAAAATTTTTGGAATTGGAATTGATTTTGTACTTCCGATTTTTTTGGATATTTTCGGCAAATGCTAATTTCGATTCGATCCATCCGACTTTTACCCCTACCCATTGCTGCCACTACAGCCAGCAGTTAGACCGTGGGTACTTCAGGACTACATAATCCCGACTCTTGCTGGATTACACTCTAGCATCCAGTATCCACCCATCGAGGCTCACAATTTCGAGATCAAGCAAGGGCTATTAACGATGCTCCAAAATAACGGGTTATTAGTGGATTGATAGGTCAAGATCCACATCTTCACGTTGTCAATTTTCTCGATACCTGCATTTCGTCATCAAAATGGTGTTTCCCAAGAGACGCTCGAATTAATTCTCTTCAAACACTCCCTGCATGGAAGAGCTCGCCAGTGGTTTATGTCCCAAGCCCCTCAATCTATCTCGTCATGGTCTCAACTCCTGAAACGTTTCATGAAAGTTTATAGCTCACCGGAGAAAGAAGAACGAATACGACGAAAAATTCACAATTTCGTCCAAGATCAAGGAGAAGCATTATTCGAGGCGTGTGAGAGATTCAAGACTCTTTTGAGGCAGTTTCCAACTCATGGAGTGGAGCAATGGCGACACGTCCAGATATTTTATTGAGGAATTGACGAGGATGCGAGAACCGTTTTAGATGAATCAACCGGAGGTAATTTTATGAGTCAATCTATACCTGATGCATTTACTATGTTGGATCAGATTGCGCAGAACAGGTTTGCCAAATCAAGCGAAAGGACAATTAGTGGAGCCAAGAAGGTTCTCGGAGTTTCGAAATTAGATGCAATTATATCCCTTCAAGCTCAAATGACCCAAATTGCTCAACAGAATCAGCTTCTTTTACAACACATCAAGGCAAACCAATCAAACCAAGTCCAAGCCGTAGATTCTCCATGTTGTGAAATTTGCGGGGGAAATCATTACACGCTCCAATGCCAGCAAGATGTGGAATCACTCAACTACGTCAACAATGCGCCTTGCCAATTCCAAAATCAAGGGTGGAGATAACACGGGAAATACGGAGGAAATCAAAAAGGCCAAGGGTACCAAAGACCTCAAGGTCAACTCCACAATAAAGCCCCTCCTCAATAAAGCTATCAAGGCAACAATCCACCGGCCCAAACTTCACACACTGATGAGGTGTTGGCCCAATTTATGACCGCCACTCAAGCCTCGGTGCGCAACTTAGAAACTCAAATAGCACAACTAGCATCGAATCAAGAGGACCGTCCAGTAGGAGCATTACCATAAAGTACAGAGGACCTCGTAAGCAAAAGTTTGAGACTTGCCAAGCTATTGATTTAAAGATCGAGGAAAAAGAAGAATTCAAAGTAAACCGCAAGACATTGTAGCCGAATGGGTGGAATCGATCTCATATCCCCAAAGATTGAAAAGAAAAATATCGAGGCCGAGACTTGCCAAGCAGTCACCCTGAAAAACGGGAAGTAAACGGAGAAAGTCCCACGAAAAGAGAAGAGAAACACCACAAATGAGAAGCCGTGAGCGATTGAGGAAAAATAATCAATTCAAGAAAAACCACCATCAACAGTGATTGCACGGGCTCCACCGATTCCTTATCCTCAAAAGTTTCTAAAGAAAAAGCTCAATGCCGAATACGAGGGATTTTTGGAGAAGTTGAAGGAGATTCACATAAATATCCCATTCATCGAAACACTTTAAAAGAGGCTAAAGTGGGTAAAATTCCTCAAGGATCTCATGAAAAAGGGGAAGAAATTGCAAGAAACGAGATGATCCAACTCATCGAGCAATACAGTGCAATTCTCACTCCGCCCCTTCCACAGAAACTCGACGACCCAGGTAAGTTTACTATCCCTTGCTATAACTCTTCAATTAGTCGATAGGTGTTTAGTTTACCCAAAAGATATTTTAGAGGATGTGCTAGTGGAAGTCGATAAATTTATCTTCTCTGTTGATTTTGTGATACTTGATATAGATGGGAATAGGGAGATACCTCTTATTGTAGGGAGATCGTTTTTAGCCACGTCGAGAACTCTAATTGATGGTGCTAGTGGTGATCTTATGATGACGGTGCATGATCAAACAATCAAATTAATGTTTTTAGTGCAAATAAAAATCCATGTGATAACAATGATTGTTTCGCTATTGATGTTATGGATTTTACGAATTTAGAAAATTTTTATGTTTTGATTTAGGACTATTATGAGACATCTTTTGAGCGCACGAGAGATGCCGAAACCGAGAGTAGTAATGAACAAGTTTGCTTTATAGACTCAACAAAAACTCCTCCAAAAGATGGTAGTACGAGTTGGGGTTTTAACGACAATGAGAGCGCGAGGAAACGGGTGTTGCCACCCAAAGAGCCAAAAAAGCCGCGAGAGAAGGCGTATGCAAGCTATTGGGGTCATAAGGATAGAGTCAAACGGAAATTTCACAAGGGACAATTGGTGTCATTGAGCAAATCACATTTTTTGTTATTTTCAAGCAAGCTCAAATGAAGGTGGTTAGAGCCGTTTATTGTCCAAGAAGTTTTCCCACATGGAGCAATCGAGATAAAGGACCGTGACTCGATCGCAATTTCAAATTGAAAGGAAGCTGGCTCAAACCTTATTGGGGAGCGAGAAAGATTGTTAAGTGACTTCGTTGAAAATAAAGAAGCAACGTCCGGCTGAAGACTCTAAACTTAACGTTTCTCGGGAGGCAACCCGAGTTTTATTGTTTTTCGTATTTTCTTTAATTTTATGTTTTGTTTTTATTTTCATAGGCATGCATTCTAATTAATTTATTTGATTTTTTTATTTTCAGGGTCAAAATTGCGATTAGGGGTTCTAGACGGTCGTCTGGAAATACAAGGGTAAATCCAGACGGTCGTCCGAGTTTAAGAGGAGCAATGCCCAACTTACGGCTTTTCAGACGGCCGTCTGAGTTTTAGTACAATTTTCAGACGGCCGTCTGAAAGCCCATAATTGAAAACCAACTCACAGCTTTTGAGACGGCTGTCCGAAAATTAGTTCAAATTTCGGGACGGCCGTCCAAAACGCAGATTGAGCATATTAAAAAAGAGAAAATCTGATTTCTTTCCCACAAATTCTCAAACCCTTCTCCTACTTTCTCTCAATCACCCACGCACCAAACTTTCAAATTTTCGAATTTCACTTCAAAATTCACAAATTTCACACACAATACGCATTTCCCAATTCTCTAATTCTTATAATTGTATTGGTATTGACAAAGAGGCTAGAGAATCGTTCCAAATTCTCCACAATCTACCTGTTCAAGGCACGCCCAGTAGGTGTTCGATAAATTGCGCCAACCAAGTTTGGGGGTTCGATTCTCGTCAATTCTTCACCAAAGGTTTCCGAGCCTTCCAATCATGTCTTCCAACAAGCAAGGCCGCAGGGGCGAAACATCCACTTCGAAAAAAGAGAAAGGAAAGAAAGAATCCACCAAAGAAACGTTGGTTCCCCAACTCGACAAAGAAGCTTTCAGTGTCGAAGGAGCTGCCGCACTATTCAACAAACAAACCAAGAAGAATGTCATTACGGAATGAGCGAGCCTTGACGATCACTCTACCACACTTTGACAATCTTAATCAAGAAATCATCAAACGAGGGTGGCAAAAGTTGTGTGAACCAGAACCCACTTACAATATCTCGATCGTCCAAGAATTCTACGCCAACACATTGGTACTCAAACCTCCCAACTATTCCACATGTGTGGTACGGAACATACATGTCGGGTGGAATACGGACGACATCAACCAATACTATGGAATCCGCTACTTAGGTCACAATTGAGATGTGATGCGAAACGCAGTCACCAAAGATCAAATTGGTCAAGTGTTATGTGATGGGCATCCAAAGTGGCTTGAACAGCCGGATAAGAAGATGTACGAGCTTAGTTAAAAACTTGTTGGGCTAAATACCTAACACGCAAGTGCACGTATCGCAAATAAGTAGTAAAATTGGACTCGTGAGAGTCAGATGTCGATCCCACAGAGAATACTCAAATTATCTAATCCTAAGTACCAAATTCTAACAATTATGATTTTTATCCATCCTACGCAAGGTTGTCAAATTTAATCAACTAGATAAATTAAACTAATTATAAAAGCAAATAAACAAGAGAGAATATCAATATAAAAACGGATCTAGGATTTTATCTTCCGCCTATGTGGTAATTCGTCACCAATTAAACCTCTATCATGCAAGTTACGATTCCCGATTATTAACCCGAGACACTCAATTACTCATAACCCGTTGTCGCGTGTATTATGAGTCTATTATTTATAACCGATTCACTATATGTCTATGCAAACAAATTATGAATAAAGCATTAAATAAAAAGTCTCGTAAACGGCTATCTAAGGTATTATTTGTATGTCTACGATAACACATGCAATTGACACAGTCATCCGGTGAAAACTACTCGAAGGCTCTCCTATCCTTGTTCTAATTATTAAAACGATCTGTCGATTCAATTCTAACAATAACACATAGCAACATAAATTAGCTATGTTCATGCACTAAATAAGATCAAATAGAAGAAATAATCATGTAATTTAAACTTGCATAATATTAGAAAAATAAGTTCGAATTACCACATAGGGTTCAAATAAAATCCTAGATTAAAAACTTAGCTACTCATAATTCTTATGATAAAAAAAAATATAATAAATAAAATAAATAAGAAAAACTATGCTTGAGTCTTCGTTGATCTTCGTTCTTCGCGTTTTGTGGTGTAAAATTTCATGCTTATGGTGTAGAGACTTGTTGCTTTTATAGGCTTTTCTTGATAACGAAGTAGTGGAAACCTAATAGGAATCAATTTCCGCCACTTTCCCCCATCAGGATTTGTTCGTCGATTTGTGCCATGTTAGAGCCCGATTTTTGGAATGTTGTGTAAATAAGAATTGTAGCCCTTGAAATTAGCTTTCCAATGTCGCCAAAATCACCTAATTCGGAGTTTGTATGAGAGAGATATGCTCGAAATGGTGGACACTGTCAAAGCTGTGGCGAGATTCCTTCTTCCAATTTGATTTGTTTATTTGCAACTTTTTCCTTTCTTTTTTGATCTTTTCTCCTTCATGGACACCTAATTCTCGTTTTTCACCTATAAAACACAAAATCAATCAATTAAAGCACAAATATAATTAAATCTAAACAAAAGATCCACGTAAAGTAAACGTATTGAGTGTAAAATCTACACTCAACAAGCATCAACTACAAAGGCAAAGCATGGTTGACATTCATTTGAGCCAACCTGATTCGGACTACCCCTTTTAGTCAGAGCAACCACGAACGATGTGCTCGTGCAAATTACATCATCACAGGGAAGTCGGTCGATGTCGGTTCCATTATTCACGATCAACTATGGCAAAGCATCCACGCCAACTCAAAGGGAATCTTCTTCCCTAGCCTCGTCACGAGGTTGTGTAAAAAAGAGAAAGTCCCCAAGCAACCGAACGACATTGATCTCAACATCCGGAAGCCAATTGCTGATTTTGCGGCTTCGCAATTCAAAGAAGCGGTCCATGACGAGCCACAAGACTTGGCCAAATTTGAAGTCGCTCCTCACCGCAAGTGAGAAACGGCCATGAAGCCTCGAGCTCACATGCCGATTGACGATTCCGGAGGAAGATCGAGTGAGAGATGATACTCACGAAGAACCGGTTGGCTACCATCCAGCATAAGGTCAACACTGGTGGAGGCACTCCAACAATGGTCCGGAAAGATGCTACAAGCCATCGTACGACACTTGGGATGTGGGACGCCTGATTGTGTAGAGTTGGGACCTTTACCGACACCGATTCTTGAGCCCATACCTGAGCTTTCCGACGACGAGAAGCATGAGAGAGATAGGGAGGAGCGCATCGATCACATCAACTCCGACTACTCAATTGTTTTCTATCCTTAAACCTTGTTTAATTTCGTTGAGGGCAACAAAAATTATAAGTTTGGGGGTGTAAAAACTTTTATTTGTGTTTTATTCGCTTTAGTTTGCATGCCTTAGGTTTTGTTTTTAGATGTTTTTATTTCTTTAGTTTTTATTTGCTTTAGTTTGCATGCCTTGGGTTTTGTTTTTAGATGTTTTTATTGTTTTTTCGTTTTAAAAAAAATTACTTGAGCCGGATGTATCGGTGAGCTATGATGATGAGAGATGACCAATATTTGATGATGAGATTGCTTGTTTTGTTGTGATCCGAATTAGATGTTTGTTTAGCTTTCGATTCAACGAAACTTAGAAGCAAATTATTGCTAGGAAGCATACTTTGTGCATTGCTTTTGTTGAATGTTTTGTATTTTAAATTTGGAATTACTTTATGTTAGATCATGCTATGTTCGGTTTTAGAACTCACATTAGAAAAATTTACGATACGACGAATTGAGTAGTGAGTGATTTGGGATATGATTTGGGCCTTCTTTGAACTGTTTGGGCATTTCAATGCGACCTTTTATTGAAATTATAACCTCGATTTGAGCATTGGAGAAATGGTGTTCTTTCTTTTAGCCATTGCTTGATAAGATAGAATAGGTGGAGATTCTTGAAAAGAAATTAACCCTTGGTGTTTGGTTGAAAAAAAAAATTAAATAGAAAATAAAAAAAATAATTGTTTTGTTTAATTAAAAGTCCTTCTTCTTCCTCTTCGAAAAAAAAAATAATAAAAATAATAAAAATAAAGGTAAAAGAAGAGAAGAAGAAGAAGAAGAGACTAGAAGAGAGAAAAAATGACTAGTGGTTGAATTGTTTTTAAAACTCGATCCAGTGTCTTAAGAGCAAAAGTAATCAACTTTTGTAATCTTAAAAATCGAGTTTATTAAAGTCCTTAAAGGTGAATTCATTGTTTCAAACGCATATCTTTCAAATTTTGGCGTAATCACCTCAATTCAAGAAGCATAACCACTTATACACATATTTCCTACCTCGAACCAAATAGCCTAACAATTGAAAGCCAAAAAGCCCCAATGATCCCAATAACTGAATATTTGGCATTAGCAGAGTAGAAGAATTTGGTGAGTATTTGTAAGCATATTTTTTTTCTATTCTTAATTTATGAATATTGGATGCTTGAAGCAATTGCATGATTTGTGGTTAATGGCAATGGTAAGTGATTAAGTGCTTTTGAATTGCGAGTTTGCGAATGTTTAAAAAAATTCATTATAATTACAAGTTCTAAAAACGTGAAGTTGGTCATTAATCTATGTGATGAGATAAAGTAGTTGAGATATTTGCTTATGATTAGTTTTTGCTTGAGGACAAGCAAATGTTCAAGTTTTGGAGTGTGTTAAGTGTATATTTATACACTTAATTATATCTTTTAGTTGGAACTTTTAGTATATTTTGTGGATAATTGGTGCTTAAAGTTTTGAATGTTTTAGACACAAATTGAAGAATTGAATAAGTTGAGGGTCAAAACTATAATTTAGAAGAAAATGTGGACAAAATTGGAGCAGTCAAACATCTGAAAAGGAAAGACTGCGCAGTAAAGAAACTTCCAAGAATTACAAGGAAACTGCATTTTCCCCAATTTTTTCACCTTATAAAAAGTCATCTCAAGCACACAATCAGGGCGCAATTTCGAGAGCAAAGAAGCAATAACGAAGACGAAGACTTTGAAGATTCAAGCATAATTTTTATCTTCCATGATTTATTTTTATTTACCTTTTGGTCATGAGTAGAAACTCTTTATTTCTAGGATTTTATTTTGAACCCTATGTGGGATTATGAACCATTTTCCATGATTTTATGCAAATTTTAATCCTGGATTATTTCTTCTACTTGTTTTATTAAGTGCATGAAACTAGTCAATTTATGTGTTTTTTCTGTTATCGTTAATCGCGTGAATCGGAAGATCGAGTTAATAATTAGAACTTGGGTAGAAGAGCCTTCGTGGTATTAACATAGGAATTTAGTTAATCTCTTAGGTAGCTACTATTGAGATTTGTGCTTCATGTTGTGTTCTATAATTGATTGCGTAGGAATACATTAATTGAATCTAGAGTATTAGAATCGTAATACACGCGGAAGCGAGTTATGATTAATTTAGCATCTCAGGTTAGTAATCCGATTTAGTAACTTGCATAATTAAAGGAATTGGAGAATTAATAATCACATAGGGGGGAACAATAAAATCATAGGCTTGTTTACCTTGACAAATCTTCGTGTTTAATTGCTTTCGTGCCTTTTATTGTTTAAATCGCTTTAATTTAATTTAATTTAATTATTTACCTTTCAACTGTGTAGGGTGGACTTGAGCATAATTGGTAGAATTTAGCGTCTAAGATTAGATAGTTGAATATTCTCTATTCGGTCGATATTCGGACTTAATTGTCCACTATATTACTTGTTCGATACGTGCACTTGCGTGTAGGTATTACTACTAACATGGGTCGTGTAAAAGACTAAAGTACACCCTCACATTTTTATATGCTCTAATTTCATAATTTAATTCAATGTAACCTCAAATTTGACCATAAATTTCACCAACTGTTCAATTTGGACCCAAAATTCAATTTTTGGTACAATTTTGCCCGTCATCGTCGTTGAATATTTTTTTTCTTTTTCTTCTTCTTTCTACAGCAGTTGACCGGCGGCGTTGATTTGTTTTTTTTTTTGAACAATTTTTTTTTCTTCCATAATTTTTGGCCTATTTAAATAATAATATCGTTGCGGTTGTCAGTTATATAAACTATATTACTGTTTAACACATTAATATTTACTTTATTACAGTTTAACACAATAATATTGTTGTATTACTCTCTAGCACAATAATAATAACTCAACAAAAATCACTAATATTGTGTAATAAATTATATTAATATGTTGACCGTTCAACAAAGGCAAACATAATAAAAAGTCAAAAACATTAATATTGACGTGGTTGATATTACTGTCAACCACAATAATATTACTGTAACGAAGTAATATTACTGTCAAACACAGTAATATTATTGTGTTTACAGTAATATTACAATAGTAGACAATAATATTATTACGTTATTCGGTCAACAGATCGAACAAAATAAAAATGCTAATAGAAAATAATATTGATGTGGTTAATAATAATATTATTGTGTTTACCGTAATTTTACCGTCAACGACAGTAATATTATTACGTTACTTGTCAAATCAAATAAAATAAAAAAACCAAAAAAATAATAATGTTGATGGGTTGACAGAGTATTGTTAATGATAGTATAATTATGGTCAACGTTCAGCGGGGGCGCAAAAAAAATGGATAAAAGTTTTAGGAAAAAAAAAAAGAATAAGAAAAAGTCAACGCTGGAGATCGGCGGTCCACGCCTAAAACTGGCGGTGGAAAAAAGAGGGAAAGAAAAGTCAATGCCCGAAACCGACAGCAAAAAAACGTCAGAAAAAAAATTTAAAATTGAAAAAGTCAGAATTGAATTTTTGTGGTCAAAATTAAATGTAAATTGGGGTTACAATTAGGATTGGGTTTAAAGGGTTGAGGATAATTTTATCGTACACATTAATTTTGTCTTTATTCATAATACATACTAAAGAGAGCTTATTGGTAAAAGAGATGTAGACCTTGAACCTACAATAATAAACATGGTTGGTCAGAAGCTTGTGAATATAAAACCCCATTTTAATAAAGTTTTTCGCTTGCAAAAATACGTCCACAAGTTATATATTCGTGGATAATAATTTAAAACTCGTGTTATTTTAATTATTGCTGCGAAACATTTACTTATACAAGTTTTTATTAAATCAATATATATAAATATGTTATTATGCATTTTCTATATTAATTTACACAAATTCGGTGACATTAAACTCTTTCAATTATGCTATGCGTCAATAATTCATAAATTAATTGTTCATACCGCCACAAAAAATAAAAATAAAATAAGTATCAAATCAAAAATTTGTTATTATAAATTTTGCAAGGTGGTGGTTCAGAATTTCAAGATGCTACAACGGAAGAAACAAAATGTAAATATTAATTTAAATTAAAACAATATACAAATGAATGCTAGTTTAGAATTATTCAATTAAATTTATTGCGGATGCAACTCACCCATTACCTGTATTTAATTATTATTTATTTATTCATACATTCTGAAAATGAAAAGGAAGGCATCGTTCTTATCTAAAACTACTTTATTATAATAAATAATATTAAATGTAATTTCTTTATTCGAATTTGCATAAATTAAAGTTAAGAGAAATAAATAATTATTATTAATTATAGTAGGTGTCATCATACATATGGACTTGCATATGGGTTCCATTCCTTTGCCTTGGTCAAAATACGTATGGTCCCCTGAGGAAGCTACCCATTTTACATAAATAATATAATAGATTAATTCCATTTTGCACCCTTGAAATATTGCAATTTGACACTTTCACCCCTGAAAGAAGGTATTAGCACTTTGCATCATTCGATGTACAATAAATCACGCATAGTTCACTTCGAATGAATTTTTAAAGTTAATGAAGATAATTTAAATTTTTTTAATACTGTTTCTTTAAGATGCCAAATACTGAATTAGAATTTTTATATTCATCAATCATTTAGATATTATAAATTGCAAAAATAAAAATATATTGCATCAAC